CCAGCATTCGCTGGCTGGGGAATTCTGGGAGTTGAAGTCCGGACATCTTCAAGTTACCAAGGTTGAGAAACACTGGTCTAGACAACTGGAACTCTCCTCAAAGCTCTCTCATGCCCTTCACTCCTTGAGCCTCGCTTACCGCAGAGGGAAGCCTCCCCTGGCCGTACCTGCCCAGCCCGCCCCGTGAGCCCCCCCTATCCCCTCGCAGCCTCTTCCCTCCCTCGGCTGAACCCTCTCCCCTCCTCCCCTCCCCTGTCTTTGCAGTGTATTGTCAGAATTTTGCCCCCAGTTTCAAGGAGAGCGAGATGAACGTCATCGCGGCCGACATGTGCACGAACGCCCGCCGGGTGCGGAAGCGGTGGCTGCCCAAGATTAAGTCCATGCTGCCCGAGGGGATGGAGATGTACCGCTCCGTCATGGGCTCCACCACCGCCAACGTCCTCCTGGACCCCGAATTCCAGCCGTCCAGCGCGCAGATGTTTGAGCAGCGGATCTATGCAGAGAGGAGAGGGGATTCCGGGACGATTGTGGCCCTCAGAACTAACACCGTCACGGTCGACCGGAGCAACGGGACCGGCCCTTTGTTTGAGCCGAGCGAGGAGGGCGAAGGGGCCGGCTCGGTCATCCAGGAGTCGGCTGGCCCAGAAGCCATGGCTTCCGATACCCAAAGCACCTCACAGCCCTTCGAAGAAGGATCGGGGTCCCCCGGGCGGCCGGAAACTCCTGCGGGGCGGCCGGAGGCGGCCTACGGGGCCCCCTTATGAACTAGACCGCCGAGGGTGGAGTCTACCGCCCTCTGGAAGGATCTGTAACCCTAAAGCTGCTTGCATGTTCTTATTAATTACCAGAAGCAAAACGAAACCAATCCCATTACGATCAAACCGTTTCCCTACTGAACTGCTACCTGTTGCCTGAGAAAATCCGATTGTTTCCTTTTTGAGTCTGCTCGCGCTTAGGATCGAAGAAGGGCGTCGCCCGGTGGGAAGAGCCCCTGCGTCCCCAGATTGGTACAGAAAGGAGTAGCGGGGGGTTCCTTCCCCCACCCCTAAACAAGGAAGGAAACTGTGTTCACCCCACCTGTTTAGCAGCCAAGAACCGGCCGTCTCGAGGGCGTCTTGGGAGAAGTTAGCTGTGATCGTTACCCTGCTTTCGATTCAGTCGGACGCAGGTCTCCTGGGCTCGAGTCTTTGGGGTTCAACCCTTGCGTGGTTGAGCAACAGGGAGAAACTGCCCTAATCACTGCTGTAGTAAATGCGGAGCGCCGTTCCCTACACCCCTCCAGGCACAAAAAAGTTGGGATACCTTTCCTTTCCTCCATTCCTCCCCCACCGACTCGGTCGTCCACCCGTTCTGCCCTTCTCCCGCGTTTCCTCCTTGCGTTTTCCTCCCTGTTTCCCTCTGGGGGGGCAGGACGAGAGACCCAGCTGGTCTCCTGGCATGCTTGCAGGAGACCTGGCTCTGGGTCCTTTGCGTTGGCGAGGAAGCTCTGGGCAAAAGGCATTCCGAGTCTAAGGTCGTTGGCGATATCTAGGTTTCCCGGCGTCATCACGGACCTCCTGCGCTTCCTACTGAACCGGTAGCGGAAATAAGAGGATTTCATGCCGGGTTTCATAACCCAGAGCGGTTTCGAACGGCGGACTTCAACTCCCAGGATTCCCCAGCCAGCGTGGAATTCTGGGAGTTGACGTCCGCCCGTCTTAAAGCGACCACCGAGATGGCGAAAACGCTTGGTTTAATTGAAACGGCGGCCTGTCTGAACTGGTCCTGCTTCGTTGCTCAGGGCAAAATGGAGATTTTGGGTGGGGAGGTTGAGGGGGGGTGGGAACCATAGGCTTCTTGGCTCTTTCTCCCGGGAATGGGGGAGCTGCTTATAGCGAAATGCATGTCGTTTGGCCACGGAGGTCATTGTAGCTCGCATGGACTTCCCCACCCCCATTGTGTTTGGATCTAACCTTATGAGAGAAAGGAAGAATTGCTGGCTTTGCGTCCGGGATTATGCGCCTTCGATGGGTAGCCGGCTTCCGATTCCCCCCCCCCTTCCCCCAATCCATTCGGTCACTTTCCCAAACTACGACGGGAAGCGCTAACCCTGTTGTGGCGACTGAGGTTTGCTTTGACAAAGACCGAGGTCGTGATAGGCAGCACAGCCTCCCATCGATGGCGGCTTTGCCTGGCGTCGAGCTTCAGGCAGATGAAATCTCTTGGGGATTTCAAGGACTTTTCGATTTGTTTTCCTGGCAGCAATAAGAAACTAGAAATTGATTAAAAAATAAAAACAAATACTGCCCCAGCCCGGCTTACAACGATGAGATCTCCTCGTGGTCTCCTTCCCCTAACCAAACCCACCTGCGCTTAGCTTCTTTTTGCAGCCAGCCATGGGGCTGATGATCCATTTCCCCCCCCCCTGCCTCCCCCCCCCTCCCCAGTAGCTGTCCTACCCCCCCCACCCCTGGTCAAAGTCGCAGGACGGAAGCAAAATACTTGAACGGCTCAGAGCAGGATCCGAAGACAGCATCGCGTTGCACAG